GGCCTCTATATTCAGCAGAACAGGTTCTCAGGTCCTATAGAAGATCTCTTCTTCAGCTCAGTGGCGTGGAAAGTTGAAAGTGTGAACTTCAGTGATAACTTCTTCATGGGAAGCCTGCCGAGATCGCTGGGGAATTTGTCATACTTGACTAACTTGGATTTGCACAGGAATCTGTTCACCGGAGAAATCCCTTCAGATCTTGGTAATCTCATGCAGCTGGAGTACCTTGATGTTTCTGACAACAGCTTATCCGGAGATATACCAACAAAGATCTGTGGAATGCCCAATCTGAAGTTGTTGAACTTAGCCCAGAACAGTCTGCAAGGAGATGTGCCGAGAGATGGTGTTTGCCAAGACCCTTCCAAGGCGTTGCTTTCTGGGAACAGAGCATTGTGTGGAAAAGTGATGGGATCAGATTGCAAGATTGATAGAACGAGTTTGCTGGGTGCTTGGGGGCTTGCGGGAATCGCCATTGGGATTATGATCGTTGTCTTTGCCTTTGTTTTCTCTCTGCGCAGATGGGTTATGAGAAAGAGAGTGAAGCAGAGAGATGATCCAGAGGGAACTGAGGAAAGCAGTTTGAAAGGGTTCATTGATCAGAATCTCTATTTCTTAAGCGGAAGCAGATCAAAGGAGCCATTAAGCATCAATGTGGCTATGTTCGAGCAGCCACTCCTCAAGGTGCGTTTAGCAGACATAGTGGAGGCAACTGATCATTTCTGCAAGAATAACATCATAGGAGATGGTGGGTTTGGGACGGTTTACAAAGCTTGTTTACCCGGTGGAAAAACAGTAGCGGTTAAGAAGCTAAGTGAAGCCAAAACGCAGGGAAACCGTGAGTTCATGGCGGAAATGGAGACTCTAGGGAAAGTGAAGCATCCGAATCTGGTGTCTCTGCTTGGATACTGCTCTTTCAGCGAGGAGAAGCTTCTTGTGTATGAGTACATGGTGAATGGAAGCTTAGACCATTGGTTAAGGAACCAAACCGGGATTCTAGAGGTACTAGACTGGTCCAAACGCCTCAAAATCGCAGTTGGAGCTGCAAGAGGACTAGCTTTCCTGCATCACGGTTTCATCCCTCACATCATACACAGGGACATCAAAGCAAGCAACATTCTCTTAGACAGTGAGTTTGAGCCAAAGGTTGCAGATTTCGGGTTAGCCAGGCTGATCAGTGCCTGTGAGACGCATGTGAGCACAGTCATCGCAGGTACATTCGGGTATATTCCACCAGAGTATGGTCAGAGCGCACGAGCAACAACCAAAGGAGATGTGTACAGTTTTGGAGTGATCTTGTTGGAGCTGGTGTCGGGGAAAGAGCCGACAGGTCCAGACTTTAAAGAGAGTGAAGGAGGGAACTTGGTTGGTTGGGTGATTCAGAAGATTAACAAGGGGAAGTCTGTGGATGTTCTTGACCCTCTGGTTCTATCGGTGGCTTTCAAACACTCTATGCTTCGTCTGCTTCAGATTGCTGTGCAGTGTATTGCTGAAACGCCGGCTAATCGACCGACCATGCTCGATGTCTTGAAGGCTCTCAAGGAGATATAAAGCTAAAACCCTTAATGGTGTTGTATGATGTATTTCTTGTTGTTTAAGTAATTGCTGACAAAGAAAACGGTAGTGTAGGGTTTGTAATGCTAGTGCTGGGTGTAACTTTGTTCTTACGTTTTTAAGAACAACTTAGGTTTTCGAGTTTCTAAATACATTGCACTTTGTATTCACAGCACTGGAAGTTAGATCAAAACGAACCGAAAATTTAATAGAAAAATATAAATTCTATGGCGAAATTAAAGTTACGGCGAACAAAAAGTTTGTGTGAAAGCATAAAAATCGAATCTGAGCTGAAATTTGTTGAGAATTGTAATTGGTACTGTCATCTCTAATACCGAAATCAATTTAAACCAAATTTTTAATCCAAACCGAATGCAATTCTCCTAGTTACGACAAAATTACAAAACACTCATCAAATTGACATAAATGCCCTTTTGCGTTCAACCCCATATTTATCAGAGAGAAAATGAAAAAGAAAAGGGAAAAAGGGTTGGAACGTAGCTGTTTGATGTCGAGTCAATATCACGAAAACAGTTTGGTCAGTAAATAATATTATTGAAACAGAGGAAATATCTTTAACCCAGACTTCTGGCTTTATATTTAAAGTCTGTCACTCACACTTTTTATATTCTCTGTGACTAGTATACATACGAATTTATTCAGTAGAAATGATTTTTGGCCACTAAACTAAGATGACCTGTTGAGAAAAACTCAAAAACTATTCGAGAATTTTTTTTTTTTTTTGTATTGCTAACAATGCGATCACAATTCTGCTCACCATACAACATAATTCTCTATAAACAAAGAGATTGGTGTTAGGAAAAAAACCTTAAAAGATATATAAATCAATCACTAACGTTTTTTGTATGAGAGAATGAAAAATGATGATATCTACTATCAAGGATCACCTGCAACAAAATTGCTTATAAGTGGTAACTGGTAACAAAATTTGGTTTCCTTATTAACAAAAAAATTTGGTTGTCTTCCAGTCTCGTGGAGCACCAGAGTCGATGATAAAAGCTTTTAAAATATTTTATTATTAAATTTTTTCAGAGTCGTCTCTCTGCGATTCTATACCACATCATTTTTTTCTTTTTTTTCTTCTTTTTGTTAATATGCCACATCATCTAGAAACTCATACAAATCTCTCCAATAATCATGCTCTAAGTCCAACCTTTTAGGTCATCTCTCACGGGTTAAGCATTTACTGCACTGACCTAAGTAGTAAATATTTTACGCCTTATCAGTAACATCAATCAAAGAAACGGCTGGGTTTACGACTTTTCATGCTATATGAGCCAAGCCCATTTAATTTGAAATCACGGGTCTTTGCACCCAGCCCATGTATAAATGATACCGTGTTATTAAACAAAGTGTCCTTAAACTTCAATTGTTCCCCACCTTTTCAACAAAGTTTTTCATAAATATTCGAACTTCGAAGTGCATTTTGCTGAATATAAAGGCTTAATGGGATTAGTGTTTTAAGTAGAGTCAGTAGACCGACGAAAATCTGTAGAGATAACGACCTGTATATTGTATAGGAGACCGCATGGACCATGTGAATAAAATCAATAATTAATGCATTATTGTAACACTATTTAATGATTACTTATAAGTATATTATTCAATAATATCTTAAATTAGTCTTGGTCTTTTTGCTCTAAATAATATCGGTTGGGTTATATTGCTCTTCTATCCATCCGTGTTCTTCCAAGGATGTGTTGCATAGTAAATCAAAGGAAAACATTATCAAATTTGGTCGTCGTATTCTATATATATGCGTATGATTACTAGTCGTGTTTGATGTGTCATATATGAGCTTGAACTTATCCTATATGTACCATTGAGGCGTGCAAAGATTTTTTTTTTTGTTTCTATAGGCTTATTTGTGTAGAAAAATACAAAAGCAATAAATTGTTTTTGGTAAATTTTGCATGTGATCAATGGAAGGATATTGTACACATTGCTATTTATGTTTACAAGAGACTCTTGTACATAAGAAGAATGGACACATGTTGAGAATTCAAATAGTCATATCTCTCATAACACAAACGGTCAAATCTTAATCACAACACTATACAAATATTAATTATATTTAGCATAAATATATATTGTAGGATTAAAAGACATGTTAACATTAGTATCATTAATAAACATTATGCCTTTGTTGATAGCTCGAATGCTACAGCTGAAACCGGTTCGGTTTGGTATTTGGCCGGTATTTGGTTCAAGACCGGTCAAGTTAAGTTAGATTTGATGTTAGTTCAATACCTACCATTGTTAATTTGTCTTCCAGAGTCGAAGATAAAGAGATTCGATGATACCAATCCAACGGTTTGCAAACGAAGGGTGCATAGAGAGATTCGAGGGTAGATGATCGGAGTAGTCGTAGGATCTGTTTGATGCCACTTTTGTTGACTTCAACCATTGGAAAGCCGACACGTGGATTTATTGAGAAGAGCGTCTTAAGAATAAATGCTTTTCTTGTTTATTAAACGGTAAATGCTTTTCTTGTTAAGGAAAAATAAAATTCCTTGTCTAATCCTTCACGCCGCGTCTAGCCATTAAAATTTTTCGGACAGCTACTTCGCTTTCTATATCTTTCAGCTAACTTAAGCTTGGCTCATCTATATAATAGCTCGGCTCGGCTCGGCTTCGTATGCAATTACTTAAGGAGAGTTTTAATCAAACGTGTTTGTAAATTAAGCGAAATCATATCCACTAAACATGTTACTAAGAGTGCTATTTAATTACCAACTGTTCATTATATATGTAGGTTGTTAATAATTTAAACTCTGATATTTCTGTTAATTTATTAAGAATCTCAAACCTATATTTTTATATTAAAATCAAAATTTTAGTCCTCCAAGAGAGGTAGGTTATTTAAAAGATTTAAATCTCTATGTAAAACACCAAAATAATTTCGGCTTTAATATGTACAAAGACAGTTTCAAGCTAGTTTTCAATATGTTAAACTACGATAAAAAACGATAATCTCAATAATATATATATATATATATTTTAATAAAATTATAGATGAAGTTAGGTGTACTATATTATTTCCCTATCTCACAATTTAGTATATACCATACAAATAGAAATTAGTAGAGGGTTCATCTCATCTAAAAAATCCATCATTTAGGGAATTACTAGATTTGCTGATTCGGTGTATCAGACGTGAAAAAACAAGAATGAGAAAGAACGTGAAGAAGCAAAAAAAGATACTGGTATATTTTATAAAAAAAAAATTAAACAACCAAACAAAACGTTATCTTCAATGTTTATCCTTTTTATTTGATGTTAATGCGTTTTTATCGTTTCCTTTTCTTTTATCACGCTAAAGATTTTGGTTTTAACATCTGTACTCACGCAAAAGTTTATCCTCGAAACATTTGGCGTGCAATCCCATTTTTTTTATTTTTTTTAATAGCTTGGATAATCCATACGACCAAACTTTTAGTCAATTGATTATTATTTTAAATTAATTTAGCATAAAAAAACAAATAAAAAATCGCCGATCGAGGAGCAAAGATATTAGCCGGATCCAACGACTGACGTCGCGAGTCCGTAATATTTATATATCCGTAAATTAACTTTTAAAGAAAAAATAGGAAAAAAGAAGTAAAGCGTGCCAATCCAAAATCCAACGGTTCAGATAAAAGCTCATACCGTAGCGCTAGATCCATGGCAGAAACAGCGTAGCAAAATCCTTTCTCTCGTCTTTTGTCTTCTTCCATTCATTTTTTTTTTAATTTTCCTAATCCAACTAACCGAAAACCAAACTCTCTCTTTCTCTCTCTTCTCGGAGGGAGTGCCGGAATCAAGCCTCAGGGGATCGGAGTATTGCCGGAATTATACAATTTCGGTTGCTTCTGTCGTCTTCCCTGCAAGTCACTGCTGGTTTAAATTCACGACGCGTCGTGTGAGAGGAAGGAGAATTTGAACACCACCGATTCACTTTTTTTTTTTTTTTATAGAATTATATATTCTCTGCTGGTTATGATTGGATAGAAAGAAACAAAAAGGAAAGGAAGATACAATAGAAGAAGAATTTTCCTGCTCTCTCTCTCTGCTCCTTTGTTTTCCCTCGGGGACGTGAAGCCTGGAGAAGAAACTTTACGAGATCCGTTCAGTAATTTTAGCTGTCCTTTTCTTCTTTTGGGAAATCTGCTTCGATTTGTTTGGGAGAGAAGAAGCAGAATTGTGTAATTTGGTAAGTTTTTCTTCTAAATTTTTATGTTAGTTGTTGGTTAGGGTTATTGTTATTGAGTTATTTCCGTGCCGAACTACTGAATTTGGTAGAGAGTTGGTTCTCTGCGTGAATTTATTAATTATCTGCACAAAAGATCCGAAAATTAGGCGAATGGTAGTTTTATGGCGTTTGGATTACCGAATTGTGGATTTATAATCTCTTTCCTCTAGTCAAACTAATTCCTTATCCCCTTAGATTGCTTGTTCTTTTTGCTAAATTTTGTTTTTTCTTTTGGATTTTGGGATTTGTAATTTGAGTTGGCTACTAGAAATCTCCTGTTTTATCCATGGAAATTGCATACCTTGAGACTGGGAATATTTTGGTAAATAAAGGTTCGGGGCCCTTATGTTTTTCCTTCTGTCAAGATTTCCTGTAGGTGGCAAATCCAGAAAGTTATTAAAAAAAAGAGAGTCTCATTTATCTCTCTTTGTCTCTCTCATTGTTTGGATTTTGTTTTGAGCAGTTCAATGCCGTCTGATATATTGGAACCCAGAGGTGTACCGACACCTTCCCATTTTCATGAAGACCTTCGCATCACTCCAGAGGTAACTCCTCTTTGGATTCCTCTGCTTTCAACTATTTATGATACATCTACTCTTGCAATTTTTGATGTATTATTTCTTTGGCAGAAACAACAGTTTGGGTTCATGAAAACCAACCCAATGCCAGAAGGCGGCGGTGATAGATTTTCAAATGTACCGAATAGTTCTTGGACATCCGAAAGTTACCAGCTGTCGCAACAACCAAGCATGTCTCGGGCGCTTCCCTCTGCCATTCCTAATGGAAGGACAGCTACAAGTGATTCTCACTGGGAGAGCAGTCTGTTTTCCAGCTCTCTGTCGGAACTCTTTAGCAGACAATGTAAGCTTTTGGTTCAGTTTTTACAATCATTTTTAGCTGTGTTATGCTGGCTAAGCAAACTTCATATGTTTATTTTTTCTTTCTGATATGTGTTTCCAAATGGCTGATTTTGCAGTACGGCTACCAAGAAGTGATAAGTTAGGCTTTATGTCTACAAACCGCGAGGAAGAGCCTTCTGAGTCTTTAGAAGAGATTGAGGCACAAACCATTGGAAACCTTCTTCCTGACGAGGATGATCTTTTTGCAGAAGTGGTTGGCCATAAGTCTCGTGCCAATGTAGGAGATGATTTGGATGATTGTGACCTATTCAGCAGTGTTGGTGGCATGGAATTAGATGGAGATGTTTTCTCGTCTGTGGGTCAAAGAGACGGCAAGAGAGGCAGCAATGTTTCGGTTGTTGGTGAGCCTCCTCGAGGAGAAATTTCATCCAGAATACTTTTTGTTAGGAATATGGATAGCTTTATTGAAGATTACGAGCTGAAGGTCCTTTTTGAGGTGCGTATATTCACCTCTGTTTTCTGGTTAAAGATACGTAATTTATTATATAGGTATTTAGAAAATTTCGAAAGTCTTTGCTTCTCATTGATGATATATGTTTACTTGTTTAGCAATACGGAGATGTCCGGGCTCTTCATACAGCTGCCAAGAATCGCGGCTTTATCATGGTATCATACTATGATATGAGGGCTGCTCAGAATGCGATGAAAGCACTCCACGGTAGGCTCGTAAGGGGAAAGAAGCTTGATATTCAGTATCCTATCCCGAAGGTGTTGTTCACTGTTCTCATCCCACTTGTTTGTGTGATTGTGATTTCTTTCTGTGCTATATGCGTTATACCTGTCATTTGTGCTGTTGTATATCTTTCTTATCACTCTTTCTTTGTGATGCCAGGAAAATTTTAAAAAGGATAACACCAGCGAAGGAGCCTTGTTGGTTAATAACCTTGACACTTCTAGATCCAATGAAGAGCTTCACAGAATAGTCAGTTCATATGGAGAAGTCAGAGAGGTTTGCTCACTTGTTTTCTCCTTATTCTTGCTTTGTGATATTGATGTTGTATGTGCCTTTTTGATTCTGATATATGTTTCTATTGTTTGCAGGTGCGGATGCATGAGAACTCACAGGTATACATAGAGTTCTTTGATGTTCGAGCCGCAGAGGCCGCTCTGCGAGGAGTAAATGGGCTTGAGATTGCAGGAAGACAGCTTAAAGTTGCGCCAGCCTGTCCAGAGGGTGCAAGGTGCTTATCATTTTTTCTTTCTTTCTGCCTTAGTTTTTCTCTATGGCTATGAACTGATGCAGTAACAACCTGATTTGAACAGCAATTGTCTTGGTGTGTAAGATTCATCATACTTTTTTTTTCTTTTCTTTCAGTTTCACCCCACAGTTCGCTGCAGATGATGGTGATGGGTGTCTACCTAAGATGGCTTTTAATAATCTATCATCTACACACATAGGTATAATAGTGTACACGGTTTATGATTCTTCGTTTATCAATGATTTGGCATCCGGGTCACAGCTCATAGCTCTCTTTTTGACATCACTCTTTCAGGGAGACAATTCCCAGGAATATTAGCTTCGAGCTCCGTTGATGTTGGATCTATGCGTGTTATGCAAAATTCTGTTGGGTCACCAGCGAGCTCCTTCATTGAACGTCATCAGAGTCTCGATGGTTTGCCACCATCAGCAAGGGTCATCTCAGCTAGCAAGCCTGTTGGTCTTCAGGATCCTGGGATCCAAAGCATGCCAAATCTTCATCCTCATTCTTTTCCTGATTACCTTGACAACTTTGCAAGTGGTAGTCCATATAAATCCTCTGCGACGTTCTCTGAAATGGTTAGTGATGGCCACAAGGCAAATGAAGGCTTTATGATGAGCAATGTTCGTGGAGCCGGGATAGACGGTTTTAATGGAGGTGGTAAGTACATAGTTCTTCTAATTGCGTTAGTGATGTTGCGTTGCGTAGCTGACGATGAATAGATATAAATGTTTTATACTTGAGTGTGGAGAGGGAATGAGGTCAATACTTACCAGCTTGTGCAAGTTATTTAAGTTCTCTTACTTTTATTTTTTGTAAATTTCTTGTTGTAGTCATAGGATCTCCCATAAATCAAGGATCCCTTCGCGCTAACCTCAACTTATGGAGCAACTCTAACACTCAGCAACATAATCCGTCAAGTGGCATGATGTGGCCTAACTCACCATCTCGCGTCAACGGCATTCCTTCTCAGCGCATCCCACCCGTTACTGCATTCTCTAGAGCATCTCCTCTAATGGTGAACATGGCATCATCGCCTGTGCACCACCACATTGGATCTGCCCCGGTCTTAAACTCGCCTTTTTGGGATAGAAGACAGGCCTATGTAGCCGAATCTCCAGAGTCTTCTGGATTTCACGTAGGTTCTCATGGTAGCATGGGATATCCTGGCTCTTCTCCCTCGCATCCAATGGAGATTGGTTCCCACAAGGTTTTTTCTCATGTTGGTGGGAACCGCATGGATGCCAATTCAAAAAATGCTGTCCTACGATCATCACGACACCTCTTTTCTGGAAGGAGCCCAATGCTTTCAGTGCCAGGCTCATTTGACTTGCCTAATGAACGATACAGGAATCTCTCTCACAGAAGAAGTGATTCAGGCTCTAGTAATGCTGAAAAGAAACTGTATGAGCTTGACGTTGATCGCATATTACGCGGGGAGGACAGCAGAACTACATTGATGATTAAAAACATTCCAAATAAGTAAGTGGGTGATTCCTTTATTAATCGTTTTTGGTCTTAGTCAAAGTTGCAGGTTGCTTATAATATCCTGCTGCTTCTTTGAATTCTAACTTTTTCTGTTCTTGTAACGGTTTAGGTATACTTCTAAGATGCTTCTAGCTGCCATTGATGAGTACTGTAAAGGAACATATGATTTCCTATATTTGCCAATTGACTTCAAGGTATGCAGGCCGCTTACTTACCTTTTTCTTTTATCTAATATAGTCAGCTTTATGGTATCTTCAATAACGATGTCAACGAACTTTCTCTCTCACTGCAGAACAAGTGCAATGTCGGATATGCTTTCATCAACCTTATTGAACCTGAAAATATTGTCCCCTTTTATAAGGTATGATTGAATCGTATATACAACGTACCAACTTTTTTAAGAAAAAAGCAATTGTTTACAATTTTAAAACCTTGACAGGCATTCAACGGTAAGAAATGGGAAAAGTTCAACAGCGAGAAGGTGGCATCTCTTGCATATGGTCGGATTCAGGGGAAATCAGCTCTTATTGCCCATTTCCAGAACTCAAGTTTGATGAACGAAGACAAACGTTGCAGGCCTATACTCTTCCACACCGCTGGTCCAAATGCTGGTGATCAGGTAGGAACGATTATGGTCTCTCTTAATATCCTTTTACTCAAATGCGAGTTTTCCGTGTCAATATTGGCTATTTTTTTCTATGAGAATCTGCTTCATTTGAATGAAATGTACTGTGTAGGAACCATTTCCAATGGGTTCGAACATCCGGTCAAGACCAGGCAAGCCTCGAACAAGTAGCATGGAGAACTACACCAACCTTAGCAGCAGCTATGAAAACCGAGAGGAGTCTCCAAATGGGACGGACTCGATCTAACCAATGAGAGAGCCAGACAGTTTTCACGTCTTAAGCCAGACTAACTTTAGGCGTCTTCTTCTATCAGAGGTAAAAAAAGAAAAGAGACCCAAAAGATTAACGAGGTGATATATATATCTTTGACACCCCCACAGCTCTGTAAATCCTTGGGGTGGTAAGTTTTTACTTGGAAAAACTCATTTTGCAGTGGAGGCAAGTTTTTTGAACTTGGTTCTCTAAACTTGTTCAGGTTGCTTCACAAGTTTTGTTGTACCATCAGATACCCCCAGAGAAATCTTGCTGGCCTTTTTTTTTTTTTGTTTTTCGAATTTTTATTATTTTTAACATTTTTGCTTTTTGAGAAGAAAAAAAAAATTGTTGGGTTGTGTCTGTCTACGAGAATCTTTCTTTGTACTTGCTTACAAAATGTAACAACAACCTCAGTACGATGTGTTGAGTTTCTTTTGCCAACGTTTTGGGACCATTATCATATTTATGTAAACCCTTGAGGGCGACGTTTTTGTGGCAATGCTTTCTTCTTCAATTATGTAAACCCTTGAGAGAAACTGGCTCTGACACCATAATAGATCTCCTAACTCTAAAATCTGGATAGAGTCCGTAAATTAATAGTGGCTTCTAAAGTTGGACGACTTCGGAATCTTATCGAATGTAATTTAGCTAGCTTAATAACTAAATTATATTTTCTTTGTTGTTGGATGCGTTTTTTATATTTTACTTGTGTCATGTCATTTGGATGTATCCGGCCCATTTAAACCTAAACTAAGACCCATCAAGGCTCGCCCTCGTCAGAAAGAAAGTGAAATATAGTTGTTGATGATTCTCTCAAGTGAAACAATTGGGACAAAATAGTTTTACACAGGTTCCGTGATTATGCTGCTTTTGAAAAAGGTTTGTTTGCTTTTCTGGTGGCAAAATCTTTTAATTGTTCAATACGTAAAATTGGTGTCTTTTTATTCACGTCTCCCTCTAAGATGCGTTCTATTTTTTTCTTCTCCTTCTAAAATTCCAGTCACACCGCATTATACAAAACTTATTAATAGTAATGTAATTTTCATATTCCCTTCTTAAAAAGATGCTTATTCCCACAGAAGTAAACAAAATTATCTTGCAGACGTGACGTCAGATCGTATATCAATTTTCGATGTGTCAAAAATCCTTGGACCAAATAAATTACTTGCCAGCCTAGTGTAGTAAATATCCTCACGTGACGGACGACGCATTATGTATCTTCTTTACAGTCAATTTAAATTCGTCTAGCTTTCCAAATCCATATAAATCTATAAACTTTCTGCAATATCTCTAATTTCTGTAATTATCAAAAAAGTAGGTTCGGTAATAATAATTCTTGGCTGGAATTTCGCAATAATTATTTTAGAAATTGGAGATAATTACAGAAATTAGAGATATTGCAGAAAGTTTATAGATTTATATGAAATTAGATGCTGTATTTGTCAATAATTCTTTTTAAAAAAACGAATATAATAAAGAGGAAGGCGAGTAATGGAGTCAAGACTCAAGACAGATCGTCGACTTGGAAAAACACAGTGGGCCCCATCTCTCTCCCCCGTCCTGATTTTTCTCCTCTGTCTCCTCAAATCTCCTTCTCTTCTTCCTCTTCCTCTTCTTCCTCTGTGTACTCGCCGTCAAATGTTTGTCTCTGTTGTTCGATCCAGCTTCTGAGTTATGGGAAGCTGCTGGTCCGATGGCTCTCACGGTGGTGGTGGTGGAATGCTCGGTGTTGGTGGGACTACCTCCTCTGCCGCCGCCGGCTACGCCAGTCCTAACGACGCCGTTGACTACTACCTCAAGTCTCGCGGCTTCAATGGCCTCTTCTCTCAGATCGAGGTCCCTTTCTTTGGTTTACTCTTCTTCTCTTGACCAAGATTTGAATTTCCGGTTCTCACCTCATAGTTTTTTCTTGCTCGGCAGTTATCGTTCTCTGCTTCCAGTTTGCGAGACCGGGACGTGATTTCAAAGGTTCGTTCTTGTTCCACATAATGCAATTTCCTTCTCAAAAACGGATTTTTTCAACTGCTCTACGAGAATTTAGCTCTCAGTAATTGTGTTTATAATAGCGCTAGTGATTGATTCCTCGAAATTCAATTATCTTGCTTACTATATTTATACTTGCTTACTATATATATACTTGCTTATTATATGTAGAGCGATGCAATGGTGGTAGTTTATAAAAAAGGAAGAGATGGAACACTTGCAGAATTGTTCCGCACTGAAGTTGTTTTAAATTCTTTGAATCCTAAATGGATTAAGAAACTTACAATTGGTTATCAGTTCGAGGTTGTGCAAACATTGCTGTAAGTTGCTTTAAAAGTCGGCTCATATAGCGAACTTGAGGAAATTATATAAAGTTTCTAACTTTACGACTCCCTTTTTTCTGCACAGGTTTCGTGTGTATGATATTGACACTCAGTTTCAAAATTCAAGAGAGGAGGTAACTGCAAAAATTTTCATGTTCCCTTTCCACTCAATGTTAATGAAGTTACATTTTAATGTTCCGAGGGATTTTCATTTCAGATGCTTAAGCTCGATGAGCAGCAATTTCTCGGCGAGGCAACATGTACATTGTCTGAGGTATCTACTGCTTAATATTCTTTTATTTTCTGTCTCTACTGGTTCTTTGAATTATAAAGAAGCAACTCTCACATGAGATATCAACTATGCAGATTATCACCAAATCAAATAGGACGATTGCCTTAGAACTCACGCGTAAAGAAGGTGCTGCTGCACAGACGCAGCCACAAAACCATGGAAAGCTTATCGTCCATGCTGAGGAGTCTCTAGCTTCTAAGACCACGACAGAGATTGTATTTAGGTGCTTGAATTTGGAATCAGTGGATCATTTCTCCAAAAGTGTAAGCTGCAGTAATAACAATACTGTTTTTCACCACTTCACCAGAATTTGCTTCAGGCATAAATGTAATGTGAATTTTCTTGCTCAGGACCCGTTTTTGGTGATATCTAAGATTGTAGAGCATGGGGCTCCAATCCCGGTTTCTAAAACCGAAGTCTTGAAGAATGATGCCAACCCTATTTGGAAACCAGTCTTTCTAAGTGTTCAGCAAGTTGGGAGTAAGGTAACCACTAACCAGAGAGGTTTCTTATATACAGTATATATGAGTTTGTCTGAACAGGAAGGTGCATCAGTTCTCTTCTGTAATAATTGCAGGACAGCCCACTGGTAATAGAGTGCTTAGACTTCAATGGCAATGGCAACCACAATCTGATCGGGTAAACCACAAACTCTCTGTTCCTCTCATGCTTACACGACATACGATTTGCGTTAAGCTGAGATAGTTCTTGTTTGTTGTTGGATCTTGCCAGAAAAATTCAGAAGTCACTTTCTGACTTGGAAAAGCTTCACCTGAGTGGCCAAGGAATCAATTTATTCTTACCTACGGGTGTTGGACATAAACATGAAGACAGGGTATGGATCTTCAACAGTACAGGGTTTCTTTCTTACAATCTTAATGACAGAAGCCTGACCACCAATTACCGTTGTTTCAGGCATTAAAGAGCCAGCTTTTCGTGGACAAGTTTACTGAAACTGTTCAGCATACATTCCTAGAGTACTTGGCGTCTGGATTTGAATTAAACTTCATGGTCGCAATTGATTTCACGGGTATGAATTACACCGTGGTAGAAAGAGCTGAGAAGGGGCAGAGTTTCTCAAGACTCTCCCTCTCTCTCTCTCTCTCTTGCATTCAAATGTTGAGCAGAGTTTCCTTTTTCAAAACTAATCAAATTGTCGCTTCTTCCATTAGCTTCAAATGGAAATCCTCGCCTCCCAGATTCCTTGCATTACATTGATCCGACAGGCAGATTAAATGCCTACCAGAGAGTAAGGGCTTGATTTTTTCAAAAGTTTGCTTTTTGCTCAACTTTTCTAGTTCCTTGTGTGTGATCTTCTGTCTTCTGTTCAGGCAATAGTTGAAGTTGGAGAAGTGTTGCAGTTCTATGACACGGACAAACGCTTTCCCGCATGGGGTTTTGGAGCTCGTCCAATCGACATCCCAGTTTCACATTGCTTTAACCTCAACGGAAGCAGTACTTACTGTGAGGTCTGTCAACAAATCTGACTCGCATTCCTCAAGTAAACAACATGAACTAACTTTTCATCAAATTCTCAAAAGTCCTGTTTCTGTTTTCCTCAGGTAGATGGGATTCAAGGTATCATGAATGCCTACAATGGCGCTCTCTTCAACGTCTCTTTTGCAGGGCCTACTCTGTTTGGTCCTGTGATCAACGCTGCCGCAACAATCGCAAGCGAGTCGCTCGCTCAAAATGCACGGAGATATTACGTCTTGCTGATAATCACTGTGAGCTTATATCAAAAAACATGTTTTTTTTTGTTCCTTTCTCTGATTATAAAGACAAATGGAAACTAAGGTTGTTCGTTGTTTTTATAGGATGGAGTAATAACAGATCTGCAAGAAACGAAAGACGCATTGGTCAGTGCATCGGATCTCCCATTATCAATCCTCATCGTTGGAGTCGGAGGAGCTGACTATAAAGAAATGGAGGTTCTCTTCCTTTAAAAGAACTTAAACACTACAAAGTTTATGGTTTCCATATTAAAGCTTGTATAGATTCTTACAGAGTTGTATTGTTGTTGTTTCGTAGGTACTAGATGGAGACAAAGGAGAGAGATTAGAGAGCTCGAGCGGTCGCGTGGCGTCGCGTGATATCGTCCAGTTTGTTGCGTTACGAGACATACAATGTGAGAGAGTCTTCTTGGTTGCTTTCTTGATATTGTTTGCGCTTTAAAAGAAAACGCAGCGTTATGGTCTGATCATTGTGTGTTTGTGTGTGTGCAGATGGAGAGGTCTCAGTGGTAGAGGCGCTTCTAGCGGAATTGCCTTCACAATTTTTAGCGTACATGAAAAACCGTAATATCACTCCCGCTTGATCCCAACTCTCATCACTGTACATACATCAATCACAGCTCTAAAACGCTGTCGTTCTTTGGCTTTTGATTTCTTTTTTTTTTTATATTGTCTGGAATTTTTCCATTTCCAGTATGCCACGTCAAATTTCAAAAAAAAATCACTCTTGATTTGTTTTTTTTTTTCCTTTTCAAACAAAGATTAATTTATTTTAATATTATTTGCCAAATTAATTTTTAGTTGGTTTGGGCATATTCAAATGATGTACTGTTCAACGGTCAACATATGTAGTTGTTGACTTTGTTTGTTAGGATTTAGGTGCTGACTCTTCTTTAAGCCTGACTTTAAACGTGAAAGTTCAAACTTCAAAGTTGATCTATCTTTACCGTACTTCTCGCTGAAACAAATAAATTGTGAAAAATAAACGAAGTCAAGCCAACGTATTAAATACTTCCTCCATTCCAAAAAGAATAATGTTTTGGCACATTTACATAAATTAACAAACAGTTATTTTTTAGTTATTAATACATTATTTTTTTTATAATCATTACTTATTTTTTTGAAATCTGCAAAAAATATATTTAATAATCTAAAAACATCAATCTTTGTGAAACAAAAAAAAAATCTAAAAAATCAATCTTTTAGAAATGGAGAGAGTAGCATTTTTAAAATAAATGATCCAAGTGTACAATTTTTT